TCCTCTCCTCTCCTCTCCTCTCCTCTCCCATTTCCTCCCTCCTTCCACCTTTCCACTTTCTCTAGAAACTAGTGGAAAGGATATCCTCAGATGAGGATTTAAAAAAATATATTGAAAGAACAGACATAGGTACTATGCTTTCCATAATATTGATTGCTGGGTTGTATTCTTTTTAAGCCCTAAGATAAATACCCATTAGGATAGTAGTAAATGCTGTGAACACTTATCTAGTGCTTATTTCATGGTAAGGCATTTTTGTACTTTGTGTGTATAATCTCATTTTATCATCACCATAACGCTGTACACTAGGTACCATTGTTATCCCAGTTTTTACATATGAGGAACCTGAGGCTTAGAAAAGTTAATTAACATACTCTTTTGGGATATGCAGCTTTTAAGGAATAGAGCTGGTATTTGAATCCAAAACCCTCTGATTTCAGAGCCTAACTTCTTAACTGTTAGTCTACAGATCTGAGGAATTTCCAGTATGGTTCACTAGTTCACTAAGTTGTAATACTAATAATATCATCTGTTTTATATCTACAATATTAGATTTTTAAGAATTGAAGTATCTTTTCCTATTTTCTCACTTTTAATACTTATTCATCAAATTCTATGTCTAATGATATAGATTTCTCATATATGCTTTTTCTGTAATCCTCATGAAAATTATTTTCTTATTTCCTTTTAATTTTATTGTATTAACAATCATTTGGTTTAAGAAAAAATAATGGGAAAATTAGGCCTATTAACACTAACCCACCCATTTTCTCTTATCATCTGTAGAGTTAATAGTAGTGTACAGTTTTTATAATCTAGATTTTTTTAAAGATTAGCTAAAAACTTTAGGAGTTAGAAACAATTACATATTTTAAAAAATTATCTTTATTGTTGAAAGTATTACAGATGTCCCCCTACATCCCACTCCCGTCCCCTCCCCAGGTCTTCACTGCACTGTTGTGTGTGTCTATGAGTTATGCATATGTGCATAAAAGTTCTTTGGTTAATCTGTTACCCCTTCCCCTTCTTCACTCTGAGATTTGTCAGTCTGTTGCATGCTTCCATGTCTCTGGATCTATTTTGTTCGTGAGTTTATTTTGTTCATTAGATTCCACATATAGGTGAGATCATGTGATACTTGTCTTTCTCTGACTGGTTTATTTCGCTTAGCATAATATTCTCCAGGTCCTTTCATACTGTCTCAAAGGGTAAGAGAACCTTATTTTCTACTGCCGCATAGTATTCCCTGGTGTAAATGTACCACAGCTTTTTTATCCACTCATCTACTGATGGGCACTTGGGCTGTTGCCAGATCTTAGCTATTGTAGATAGCTATGAACATAAGGGTGCATATATTCTTTCTGATTGGTGTTTTAGGATTCTATTCTTAGAAGTGGGATCACTGGGTCAGATGGGAGTTCTACTTTTAATTTTTTAAGGGATCTCCATACTGTTTTCCACAGTGGCTGTACCATTCTGCATTACCACCAGCAGTGTACTAGAGTTCCCTTTGCTGTACATCCTTGACAGTTCTTGTTTGTGATTTGTTGATGGTAGCCATTCTGGCAGGTGTGAGGCCATACCTCATTATGGTTTTAATTTACATCTCTCTGATAATTAGTGACTTTGAGCATTTTTCATATGTCTCTTGGCCATCAGAAATAATTATGTATTTTAAATATTAAGCATTTAAAGGATAATTATCACAATGATGTTATTAAACCCCATAGTCAAAATCTATGCTTTCGACAGTGGGGTGAATTAATTAATTAGTTAGTTAGTTAATTAATTAATTAATTCATAGTATGTGCCTACTGTGTGCCAGGAAAATCCATTTCTATGTCCTCAGAATGATTGTTTTTATCTTAGTAGCCAACAAGCTCCAGTTTATTATTTTTACATTTTTTTCTTATTATAAAAATTATATTTATTGTACAATGCTTAGAACATACAAAAATGTTGAAGATGAGAATGAAATGATCTAGAATCTTATAAACTATGTGTTATATATAGTTTATTACAGTTTAATGAACTCATCAACCATAAAAATGAGAGCAAATATAGGGATAAATCATATTTTCTGAGATATCCTCTTATACTTTTAACATTATGAGATATTTTTTCATTTTCTTTTTTATATGTACATAGATTATAAATTTTAGAATACTATTTGATTCATAGTCTATCAGTTTTAGAATTTTAAATTAATATATAACAACCAGATTCCCTTATCATTAAAAATTCTTTAAATGATGTACCTAATTTATTTATTCATTCATTTCTATTGTTAATTATTTAATTTTTCTTTTCCCACCATAATATCAGATGATGTGTTAAGCAGTTCTTGACATGTTAGATGTAACCTAGAACTGTAGAATAACATGAAACTATAGAATAACATAATGTTTTAGATTATTTCAGTAATTTATTTGATAAATATTCACTGAGTGTTAGGAACTGTGTTGTACAGAGCAACATTGCTTCTCAGAAAGATTGTACCTATATAAACTTAAATTGTCAATCTAAGAATGTCCTCATTTCTGTCAATCTTGAATATTAGTGCTTAAAAATATTTTGGGGATAATTTGAGAGACAAAAATTGGGATCTCATGCCCAACTGGTGTGGCTCAGTGGTTGAACGTTTGATTCCTAGTCAGGGCACATGCCAGGGTTTGGTGCTCAATCCCCAGTAGGGGGCATGCAGGAGGCAGCTGATTAATGATTCTCTGTTATCATTGATGTTTCTATCTCTCTCCCTCTCCCTTTCTCTTTCTGAAATTAAAAAAAAGGGGGATCTTAAAGTAATAGAAATCTATATAACTTCTGGTGAAGTTAACTTTATATAAATATTTCATATTTATTAGCCATTTGTGTATAATCTGTGAATTACATATTTAGGACATCTGTATATTTTTCTGTTTGTATCTTATTTTTTAAATATTTCTGAAGGTTTCTTTATTGATGTTTCTCTCTCCCATCAGTGTCTCTCTCTATCTCTCATTCTCTCTCTCTCTCTCTCTCTCCCCACCCCCTTCCTCTCTCTAAAGTCAGTGAAAACATATCTTTGGGTGAGGATTAAAAAAGATAAAAAAGGTTATTTTTTAGGCAAAAATTATGGCCCCTAGCCTTTTCTTTTGAGATTTCTCAGTTGCTTATGAAAGTTTGATTTCTGATCCATAGGCATATGTGTAAAATAGAAAATGAATTAGAAAGAAAAGATGTACAATACTGTCTGAAGTGATTATGCATTTTCTTTTAGGTTGGGAAATGAAGAACAACAGCCTGAGGTTCCAATTCTTTATCATGATGCTACATCCCTTTTGCTCATCCAGATTTTAATGATGCCACAACCCTTACGCAAAGGTATATCTTTATAATTCAGATTCTTAGATTACATAGTATATATAATGAATATCCTACTAATCGTAGCAACAAATGTAGCATTCATCTGATGGAATTATTTAAAGGTAAATAACATTGTTTTTTCTATTTTTAGTAAATAGTAATCATATATATAAAGAAAATGACAATGAAACAAAATTGTTTTTTCCCTTATAGGTCTATTTTTTTTAGCTTTTTAGTCCATAATGAGGTAAAGACATGGGAAACCACTCTGAAAACCTGTTTTAAAAAAATTAAAGTGATAATACAAAAACGTGAAAAATAAAGCAAACTTTCAGCCTTAATGGCTCCACCCTATTTACATGCATATACTAGTACATTTTAATATAGTAATATCATAGATTTATTCAAATGTGATGTCCCATCATTTTTAATTAGTGTTAATGTTATAATATTGATATTAATATTATACTACAAACATTTTAATTGCTCCAGTTTTTATTTGAAAACATTTAAACTATTCAGTCAAGTAATTAACTATTCTCCTTTGGTGGAAACAGGTTTCTGCTTTTTTCTGTTTGTTTTTGTGCTATTTAAGTTATACTAGAAAAAACATCTGTGGGGTCTAGAACAAATATTCCAAAATTTTATAAGGAACCACAAAAGACCCTCAGTATCCTCAGCAATCTTGAGAAAGAAGAACAAAATGGGAGGTATCATACTACCTCATATTAAATTATACTACAAGGCTATTGTAAAAACAACCTGGTACTGGCATAACAACAGGCATATAAATCAGTGGAATAGAATAGAAAGCCCAGAAGTAAATCAATGGTCAATTAATATTTGACAAAGGAGGCAAGAACATACAATGAAGTAAAAACAGTCTCTTCATTAAATGGTAAAATTGGACAGGTACATGCAGAAAAAAATGCAACTAGACCACCAACTTATACCATACATAAGAATAAACTCAAAATGGACAAAAGAGTTAAATGTAAAGTCGGGAAACCATAAAAATCCTAGGAGAAAACATAGGCAGTAGCTCTCAGACTCTCTCATAGCAATATTTTTTTTTAAAGTATATTTTATTGATTTTTTACAGAGAGGAAGGGAGAGGGATAGAGAGAGTTAGAAACATCGATGAGAGAGAAACATTGATCAGCTGCCTCCTGCACAATCCCCACTGGGTATGTGCCCGCAACCAAGGTACATGCCCTTGCCCAGAATCGAACCGCAGGCCGACACTCTATCCACTGAGCCAAACTGGCTAGGGCAATATATTTTTGTTAATATATCTCTTCAGGCAAGGGAAACAAAAGAAAAAATAAACAAATGGGACTACATAAAACTAAAAAACTTTTGTACAACAAAAGAAAACATTAACAAAATGAAAAGGCAGCCCACTACATATTTGCCAATAATAAATCTGATAAGTGATTAATTTTCAAATATATAAAGAATTTTATAAGTCAATACCAAGAAGCATAACAAACCAATTAAAAAATGGGCAAAGGATTTGAATAGACACTTCTCTAAAGAGGACATTCAGATGGCCAATAGACGTATGAAAAGATGTTCATTGTCACTAATCATCAGAGAAATGCAAATTAAAACCAAAATGAGATATCACCTCACAGCTGTCATGATTATCATCAGTAAATCAACAAATAACCAGTACTGGCAAGGCCGTGAAGGAAAGAGAGGCCTATACACTGTTGGTGGGAATGCAGACTAGTGTAGCCACAGTGGAAAACTGTGTGGCGTTTCTTCAAAAAATTAAAAATGGAACTACCTTTTGGTCCAGTAATACCACTTTTGGGAATATATCTGAAGAAACCTGAAACACTAATTCAAAAGAATATATGTACCCCATATATTCTATTTATAATAGCCAAGATTTGGAAATAGCCCAAGTACCCAGCAGTAGATGAGTGGATAAAAAAGCTGTGGTACATTTACACAATGGAATACTACTTGGCCAAAAGAAAGAAGAAAATCTTACCTTTTGCTACAGCATGGAGAGACCTGAAAATTATTATGCTAAGTGAAATAAGCCAGTCAGAGAAAGATAAATACCATATGAGCTCACTTATATGTGGAATCTAAAAATGATTTAACAAATAAAATAGAAACAGAGGCATAGATACATAGAACAGACTGACAGCTTTCAGAGGAGAGGGGGTTGGGGGGCTGGGTGAGAAAAAGTTATAGGATTAGGCAAAAAAATATATACTATAATAAAAGTGTAATATGCTAATTAGATTGGATGTCCTTCCGGACGACCATTTGAATGAAGCCAGGGCTGTGAGGGAAGCCCGGGTCCCGGATTCCGGGTTCTGGGTACCAGAGGCCAGAGGGAAGCCCGGGTCCCAGGTGTCAGAGGGAAGCAGGTGCCAGCAGCCGGGGGAAGGAAGGCCTATTCTTGCATGAATTTCGTGCATTGGGCCTTTAGTGTGTGTGTGTGTGTGTGTGTATGACGCATAGATATGGACAATGGTATGATGATAACCAGAGGGAAAGGGGGGTGGGGCAAGGTGGAAGTGGGAAAGGTGGGATAAATGAGGAAAGAAGGAGACTTGACTTTGGGTAGTGTGTGCACAATGCAGTATGCAGATGATGTTTTGTTGAGTTGTACACTTGAAACCTGTATGGTTTAATTAAACAATGTTACTTTTGTAACATTTGATAGAAAGAAAGAAAGAAAAAGAAAGAAAGGAAGAAAAGAAAGAAAGATAGAAAGAAAGAAAGAAAGAAAGAAAGAAAGAAAGAAAGAAAGAAAGAAAGAAAGAAAGAAAGAAAAGTTTTTATACATCTGTGGGTGTATAAAAGCCTTGTTACTGGAGAAGATATTATTTGTGTGTACTTCAATTTGACCTTTGAAAAATATGTATTTTAAATAAATTTATTAAAATTGATTTTAGAGAGAGAAGAAGGGAGAGGGAGAGAGAGAGAAACATTGATGAGAGAGAACCATTGAACAGCTGCTTTCTGCACAAAATCCTGGCATGTGCCCTGACCAGGAATGGAACCAGCGACCTCTCAGTGCATGGGATGACAATCAACTGAGTCACACCAGCTAGGGCTTTAAAAAAAATTTTTTTTATTGATTTTTAGAGAGAGAAAGGGAAAGGGAGAAAGAGAAACATTGATGTGAGAGCAGAACATCTATTGGCTTTCTCTTGCATGCCCCCTACTGGGGATCAAGCCCACAACCTCAGGCATGTGACCTGATAGGGAATCGAATCAGCAACTTTTTGGTGCATGGGATGATGCCCACCAACTGAACAGCATAAGATAATAGAAGGAACACTGAATCTGATTGATGTGTGTGGATTCAAGTTCAGAATCCACACACATCATGTGCTTATTAGCTTTGTTACCACTGGCACATCCTTTGGAAGCTTAGTTGTCTAATTGAGACTGTTCTGAGGATTGAATGAGACATTTGAGGTAATTTTCTGTTATTAGGTATTTATAAGTATTAATTATGATTATTAAGCTACCATTTACTAAGTACCTAATATGTACCAAGCATCTTGCATTAATGTTACTCTTGTTTTTGCATTGTTATGGTTTTCATTGAATTTTAAAACTCAGAGTACCTAAAATATTGGGATTTATTTTTTTATTTTAGAAGTTCTGTATTGTATTATTTTATATTATATTATTATATACAAGATCTATATCATATTAGAAGTAGACGAAGTACTGGTTTTAAGCACTCAGACTACCAGACATTGTTAAGTACATGATATCTAGTAGGGGATTTGCCAAGGTTAAACAGCTATTCTGAGGTTGAGTGGCATTAGCACTCTGGTATTCTAAAACATACCACACCTTCCACTATGCTAAAGGCCTCTCATTTACATATTCAGTGGATGAATAAGGGAACTTTGATTTCATAATTTCAGATCTGTTGAGTAGAAAATATATCACCACATTGTAATCTCATTTTATTGACTACTTAAATGTTGAACAAAAATCAATTACACATGCAAAGAAAGGCATATATTTGTGAAATTATCCTATATAATAAAAGCCTAATATGCTAAATGTCTGGTCGTCTGGGTGTCTGGTCAACCAGTCAAAGCGTAATATGCTAATGATATCTAAGGCCGCTCAACTGCTCACTATGATGTGCACTGACCACCAGGAGGCAGACAGTCGACTGGTCGACCAGTTGCTATGATGTGCACTGAACATCAGGGGGCAAATGCTCTGACCAGTAGATTAGCTTGCTGCTGGGGTCCAGCTGATCAGGACTGAGCGAGCTGGGCCAGACACACCCTGGAGCCCTCTTGCAGTCCCTCTCCGGCCCTCCCCGGCCCCAATCGTGCACCGGTGGGGTCCCTCGGCCTGGCCTGTGCCCTCTCGCAATCCAGGCTCAGGGACCCCTGCCCCATTGAGTGCATGAATTTTGTGCACCGGGCCTCTAGTCTTGAGTATAAAATGTCTAGATTTCAAAGAAATAACAATCTTCTCTTTCTCTTGTAGACCACTTCACCTGCATTGTGAAGGTGCTTTTTGCCCTACTGTACACACAAGCTCTTGCAGCACTTTCAGTCAAATGCAATGAGGAAGATAGGTCAGCCTGGAAACATACAGGAGCTCTCAAAAAGGTTAGTGTCTTATTCGAATTTGTCATTTAGTAGTTCGGTAAACTCATTTAAGTTGGAGGTGTGAATGAGTGAGATTAGATGTTTTAAAGACAAAATTAGTTATTACCAAAGTATTTTAAATGGAAATGTAACACCTTCAGGCTAAAAAAAGTTGAAAATGTTTTCCTTGTACAATGAGGTCTTTTGCATCTGTTTCTAAACCTTGGCCGTTGTCTCTTTATATTTGGGCAGTTTTGTTTTGCTTTTGCTATAAGCCTTAAACTTACAGAAGTTACAAAAATTTTGCTAACACAGTGAGGAAGAAGCACAATGTCTGCAGACTTACCTATTTTACTATATGTCATTTTTTCTTCTTATCTCTATCCCCAGTCACAATCCAAAGATGGTTTTTAACTTATCATTTCTAAACTTAAAAATCCTAAGGTGAAAGGTTTATTGGAAATGTATTGCATGTAAATACTACTGTTATGTTTGAGGCAACTCGATTACTGTACTTATTAGTTTGAGGCTTTTTTTCTTTTTCTATTGGGATTGTAAGTTTGCCTCTCAGATACTTTATATGCTTAAAAATAAAATATACTAAACCTAAAAAATAATCCTAACCTTTTCTTAATTATACCTCTTTAAGTACTGCTTTTTCCCCCTCATGTTGGAATATATATAAGTTCTTATCAAATTTAAAGGAGATCTCTTTAGTTAAAATTATGTAAAAAATTTAGAACAATTGTGCACATTTAGTTAAATGTATTTAATTAAAGTATTCAGTGGCTTGAGAACAAATGGGATACTATAGAATCAAAGTACTCTGTGACTGAGTGGTTTGGCTTACAGAAAGTTTAAAATAAGAAAGTTACTTCAATGTTTATTTGGGAAAAGTAGTAGAAAAGAATAGGTGTTGTATAAATTAAACCTTTGTTAGGCTTATAAACTCTTAAAGAGGTTTTATACCTCATTGGAAAGTTTCTGTTAAAATCATATCTGTTTGCCCTGGCTGGTGCTAAGTGGTTAGAGCAGTGGTTGGCAAACCGCGGCTCGCGAGCCACATTCGGCTCTTTGGCCCCTCGAGTGTGGCTCTTCCACAAAATTCCACATGTGGGCGCACACGTACAGTGCGATTGAAACTTCGTGGCCCATGTGCAGAAGTCGTTTTTCGGCCTGGGTGAGTCTATTTTGAAGAAGTGGCGTTAGAAGAAGTGGGGGGTGTCGGTCGGTCGGGCGATGGGTCGGGCGATGGGAGACGCGGCGCAAGTGGGCCGTGGGATACGCAGCGCGGGGGAAGTACATTGTTTTGAGGTACGTTCCCTGAGGTCGACCCCTTCCAACTCTCCCATCCACACTCATCTATCTGAAACAAGTATACAAGACGAGTGAGGGGTCGACCTCAGCGAACGTACCTCTATCAGCTTGAGGACGTTTTTAGCAAAGGCCAGCTTAGGAGTACCCTAATTAAGTTAATAACAATGTACCTACCTATATAGTTTAAGTTTAAAAAATTTGGCTCTCAAAAGAAATTTCAATCGTTGTACTGTTGATATTTGGCTCTGTTGACTAATGAGTTTGCCGACCACTGGGTTAGAGCATTGGCCTATGGGCTGAAGGGTTGTGGATTCAATTCCCAGCCAAGGGCACGTACCTTGGTTGCAGACTTGATCCCAGGCTTGGGTTGGGGCTTGAGCGGGAGGCAACCAGTTGCTGTGTCTCTCTTATCTCTCTCTCTCTCTCTCTCTCTCTCTCTCTCTCTCTCTCTCTTTCCCCCCTCCCATTCTCTCTAAAAAAATCAATGGAAAAAATATCCTCAGGTGAGGATTAAATTACTTATATCAAAGGGGAGAGAAGACTAATTATAAACACATGAAATATACTCAACATAACTTTCACTTTTATCACCAATTTACTCTCAAATCATGTTTATATGTACAAAAAATTAGTATAGTATCATCACAAAGTTCATTATGTCTTAATTAGGGATATGGGTGGTTGGCCATTGAACCTAAGTAGTAGGCCAAGCTTCTACCACTAAATTACTTTTTCAGTCAAGGCATAAAAACTCCATGAACCTCAGTTTTCTGAAAGGTAAATGAGAATTTGGAATATATGATTTAAAATGGTGCCTCTCTTTATAAAATTCTATTATTCCAAGTTCTCAAAATGGATTTTTGTCTTTTCTTGCAATGATTTTTTCTCCTTGTTCTTAGTTGATTCTTAGATAATTTTTATTCTGCAATTATCTTTCTTTTTTTCTAAATATCCTTTCAGTTTTCTGAACACACTCAAATCTGATATTTGTATTGTTAGTATTCAAATCAAGTATATTAGGTTTTTTTATAAAAAAAAATATTTTATTGATTTTTTTACAGAGAGGAAGGGAGAGAGATAGAGAGTCAGAAACATCGATGAGAGAGAAACATCGATCAGCTGCCTCCTGCACATCTCCTACTGGGGACGTGCCCGCAACCCAGGTACATGCCCTTGACCGGAATCGAACCTGGGACCCTTCAGTCCGCAGGCCGACGCTCTATCCACTGAGCCAAACCGGTTTCGGCAAGTATATTAGGTTTTTATGCTATGTCATTGTTTATGTTTTCTTAGTAAACTGTCTAATAATGAAAAGTTGTATATTTAAAACATTTCCTGATATAATTTGTGTCTAAATCTATTAATATAACTGCAAAAATTAGACCTTAATGACAGAACATTAGACAGTTGTAAATCTATAATGGGAGGAACATGAGCTAATTTAGGTAACTTCTATTAATTTTCTTTCTTGACTTGATAATTATTAGCTATTTAATAATACTTAATAAAACCTTTAACATGAGTTAGATTCTTATCAGATGTAGATTAGAAGTTTATACCCACATAAATGGCTTTAGTGAATGAAAGCAAAAATTATAATTATTCTGTAGGTTGTTTTGCTGTTATTAGCTTTTTCTGCAGTTGATTTAAACATTTAGATATGTAGAATATCCTATATAATAAAAGCCTAATATACTAAGTGTCTGGTTGTCTGGTTGTCCATTCAACCAATCAAAGCATAATATGCTAATGACATGCTAAAGCCGCTCAACCACTTGCTGTGATGTGCACTGACCACCAGGGGGCAGAGAGTAGACCGGTTGTCCAGTCACTATGATGTGCACTGACCACCAGGGGACAGACACTCCAACTGGTAGGTGAGCTTGCTGCTGGGGTCCGGCTGATCGGGACTGAGCCAGATGTGCCGACACACCCTAGAGCCCTCCTGCGGTCCCTCCCCAGCCCCGATTGTGCACCAGTTGGGTCCCTTGGCCTGGCCTGCACCCTCTCACAATCCAGGACCCCTTGGGGGATGTTGGAGAGCTGGTTTTGGCTCAATCCCACTCAATGCAGGAGCTTCCCCCTGGTGGTCAGTGCGCTCCCACAGGGAGCGCTGCTTAGCCAGAAGCTGGGCTCACGGCTGGCAAGCGCAGTGGTGGTGGCAGGAGCCTCTCCTGCCTCTGAGGCAGCGCTAAGGATGTCCAACTGATGGCTTAGGCCTGCTCCTAATAGGACTGCGAGAGGGAGCAGGGCAGGCTGAGGGACTCCTCCGAGTGCACGGATTTTGTGCACCGGGCCTCTAGTAAATAGTAGCAACAGCTATATAAGTAATGAAATGTATCATTGTGTATCATTCATTCCTTCTTTTTTTTTATTTCCTTCTTCCTTTACTTCTTTTCTTCTCATCTGTTTCCTTCTTTTCTTTCTTCATTGAGCCTCGTTTATTCCAACCCACCATATAATTCTTTATCCTCAGGTATAATAATTCCAGTGAAAACAGATTTTTGCCAGATTGAATCTACCCTAGAGCAATAAAAATATGTATTTTTCAAAAGAATATTATAGAGATAATTTGATAAGGAAGTTCAGTTGTGTTGGAAAAATGGTCATTACAGTTAGCATATTTTTTTTCTTCTTTGGAATATCTGTTAAAAGAGATTTTATATCAGGATTTCTTTGCTCCCCCTCATCACCATTTATTCCGCCCCCCCCCCCCCCCATGTCCTCTTCTACCTCTACCCCTTTTCCTTCCCCCTGAAGTCATCACACTATTATCCATGTCCATGAGTTCTTTTTCTTTTTTTGGTCAGTCTTTCCACGCGGCCCCCCAACATCCTTCCACACACACCAGAGCTGTCTGCCTGCTCTCTATGATTTTGTCTCGATTTTGCTTGTCAGTTCAGTTTGTTCATTAAATTCCACATATGAATGAAATGACATGGTACTTGTCTTTCTCTGACTGGTCTGACCTACTTTACTTAGTATAATGTTCTCCAGGTCCATCCATGCTGTCACAAAACATAAAATTTTCTTCCTTTTTACAGCTGAGTAGTACTTCATTGTGTAAATGTATAGGTTTTGAGGAATTGAAGTTTACATACTTGAAAAATAATCTATATATATAAAAAGCTAATATGCTAAGTATCCTACCATCTGTGTAATGATGTCACGTAGCAAAGCCGGCTTTTTCTCCCTAGCGACTAGCCTCCTTGCAGTTTCTTCCGCCCAGGAACATGACTTGCTTTATAGCCAGGAAACATTTCACACTTTAACCAAATGTCTGTGAAGCGTTTTCCCGTGCCTCATCTCATTTGATCCTCATAGAAGTCCTGGAGTAGGTAGATGGGAGACTTGGTGGAATCCTATTTTCTTTTCATTAGCTGGAAAACAGAGATTTAGAAACTTGACCCGACTGAAAAGAAGTAAGAAATGGTGGACCTTGAAAGTGACTTCAGGTTTTCTCACTGTGCAGAATATAGTCAGACACTGCTGCAGTTAAATATATTACCCTTTGTTCTCCCTGTGTGATCTACAATAATAATCTGCTTCGTGTTGATATTTACTGCTGTGTTGCTGACAATTACCTGAAAGAGAAGTTGGGGTGCTTCACTGGGCTGGAAAAGGTTTAGCTACATCAGAAAGCAGGTCTAATTAAGCAAGTTTAGTTTATATCTATAAAAGGCTAAGTTGACTCACACATACGTGATACATATAAAGCTCTTGCTGGCGCCAGTCGCATGTGTGTGTTACCATTTGTCATTGTCGATTGTGAATTTGGTTGATACGTCTATTATAGAGAAAGGGTGAATAGTGATATTAAAATATTTATTTTAATTAATTTCCTTTCAGTGTGAATGAATTTGTGTACCAGGCCTCTAATGTAATCATAATTATGCTGTACTCTTTAAAAAGTGTTCTTTTCAATGTTAACTTTTTGTAAATTCAGTGACTGAGATAACTAATATTTTAATTTTTCCTAGAATACGTGTGATGCAGAAAAGTCTTATAAAGTGCTATTGAGCTTTGTGATAAGTGAACTATCTAAAGGAAAGTTATACCATGAAGAAGGAGCTCAGGAGTGTGCAATGGTATGTTTTCTCTAAGGTTAGATGTAGTGGTTATTGAGTTAAAAATTCAGATTTTGTTGCCATTATGAATATAATTTTTAAAGCTATATCTATTATAGAATGAATTATTCAGGTTTTCTTTTTTTAACTTTAGGTTAGCCCTATTGCTTGGTCTTCTGAATCCATGGAAAAATACTTGCAGGACTTCTGCTTACCTTTCCTCAGAATCACCAGCCTTCTTCAGCATCACCTTTTTGGGGAAGATTTACCTAGCTGCCAGGTATAATTTGGGATAGAGATTAGGGTGCATTGTTTTAGTCTAACTAAAAGGAATAAATATTTAGAATACTTATTGTTATTATATTTTGTATTTGTTAGCATCCACTCATTTTTATGGTAATGTTACTAATATTTGATATTTGAGTAGTTTTGGATTAGATCAGTGATAATAAATGCCCAATACTTTAACAGGATCATAGTATTCATATTGATAATAGTTATCACCATCTCTATTGATACATTTATCACTAATTGCTTTTAATATTATTTAAATATTATGTTGGTCAGAAAGCTGGTTATCTGAAGATATGATGGTGTTTATGTAATTTTAGAACAACAGAATGTTCAATTTATAGCCACTTATATTAAAACTTGGATAAATGAGTTATCACTAGTTTAATATATTTCTTAGAACTGTTGGTCAATGTGAGTAGGCAAGAAAGTGACAGGAAAGGAAAGCAGAAGGTAAGTAAACCAAATTAACTTTTAGGATTATGTTTCTGGCATTATCTGCCATTCATTTTCGGTGAATTTGATGTGGCCATTAAGGTATTTATCATATTTATGATCTTTGAAGCCTGAAGTATATCAGAATTAAGAAGTTGATTATTCCTTTTCTCCTATGTAATTGGCTATTGCATAGTTTGTGTTCTTTGGTTTTTATCAAGTGATTTGAGATTAAACTCTACATATTTGTCCCCAAAACTTTGTATTTAGGATTATAAGATATTGAACAAATTAAAAATATTCAAAAATTCTTCACATCACTGTATTGCACCAATAATCTAGGAGAATCTCCTTAAACAAAAAGTAGGGATTAAGCTGTGGGGTTTTTCTTTTTTAACAGCAATCCAGGCACTGGAAAGCCAAAGTGACTTCAAAAATACGAATATTTCTGAAATAAATGGTGGTGATTTCACCAGCCATACATCAGGGTTGTCTGAGACTGATTTTGTAGTTACTAGAAGAGTGGATAGAGTGAGAGACCTGTGGAGTCTTGGTCGTGTCAAATCAAGTAACTCACTTGAAGACTACAGCTTTAATCAAAATACCTTTAACTTCAGAAGTTATCCCTAGCACTAATGGTAGTGAGCATGGGCACGAGGAAGGGGCTGCCCAACCAGGACATTTACCTACATCTGTTCCTTCTCTTTCTAATTGTGGTCTATTACCAGCTGCCTACGTTATTCTCCACGCACTCCTTAAGCCCACAAAATCTATTTTTTCCACCTGCCAATACTATCCTGCAGCCTCAAGTGTTACTAAGGGCCATCTGATCACAGCACAATTTGATATGCCTCATCACACCTTCCTTTAATCTCTCCCCTCCCGAGTCCCATGACACTGCAGCAGGAGTTTTCAAACATACTTTAGCAGTAGAACCTTTCTTTCAAATGAGATCTTGAAAAAAAGACTTAAAATAGTAAGACTTGAAATCATACAGTATAAGTTCTCAAAATTTGTTCTTTTTCAGGGTATGTTTTGGCTATTCATTGTATTTCTATAAAATTTTTAAATTGGCCTGAAATTCCTATCAAAAAACAAAGCCTATTTAGTTTTTTGGGGCGGGGTGGGGAAGGTTTGCATTGACTCTAAATATTAATTTAGAACTCTCATCTTAACTGGAAGAACTGACGCTGTAACATTATAATGTTATCATCTTAACATTGAGAACTCCAGTAATGGACCTATTTATATTTCCTCCTGATTTGGATTAATTAAGCTTCTTAGATCTGTGGGTTAGTTGTTTTCATAAAAAAATTTAAAAAATATATATTGAGAAAGGATTTGTATCCAGAATATATCAGGAACTTTTATAACTCAACAATAAGAAAACAAAAAACATACGGTGGTCAAAAAATTTGAACAAGCACTTCTTATAAGAATATATATGAATGACCAATATGTACATGACAAGTGTTCAACATCATTGTTGATTAGAGGAGTATAAATTAATGTTACAAGTGTTGGTAAGGAGTTGGGTAGAGTTCCATGAAACTCCTATTCATTGCTGGTAGAAATGCAAAGTGGTATAGTCAAATTCTGGCAGTTTTCTTTAAAATATTAAGCATGCACTTAACTGTATAACACAATGATTCTATTCTTAGTTATCTACCAAAAGATATGAAAGCGTATGTCCACATAAATACTTGTAATTGAATGTTCATAGCAGCCTAATTTATAGTAGTAAAAAACTGGAAATAACCAAGAAGTCCTTCAAAAAGTGAACGTGTGAACAAAATGTGGTATGCTCATATAGTGGAATGCTACTCAGTAATAAGAAGGAATGGACTACTGATACACACTATAACATGAATGAATCTCAAAATATTATGCTAAGTGAAAGAGGCCAGGCACAAAAGAATACATAATGGTTTCATGTATATGAAATGTAAAATCCCAAACTATAATGCAGAAAGCATATCAATGGTTGCTTGGGCAGGAGAACGGGCTGGAATTGATTGCATAGGGGTAAAAGGAATATTTTGGAGGAGTGGAATGGTTCTAAAATTTTATGGTAGCAGTAGTTTCATGATTATACTTTTACTAAAATTCATCAAACTACACTTAAGGTTGGTCCATTTTATGGTTATGGAAGTTATACCTCAATAAAGTTGTTTTTAAAAATGCCCTCTTTGCATAGCTATATAAATGGGGGATTTGTGGCCTTATTTCTAGAGACTTAAAAAATTAACATTTTTTAGCTTTCTTATCATTTTGCTTTTTTATCTTTGTACCATATTTCAAATTTTGTACTTAATCTAGATAATTAGTTCACTTTTGCAAAGAGATGCTGGTTGAATTTCTATTATGTGCCAAGCCCTGGGAAGACAGAGCTCCTACACCCAGGAACCGCTCCCACAGTCTTATAGGAAAGGCTGATTTATTTTTAAAGTAACTAATAGCAAATATCCAAAAGAGAAGTGTTTACAAGGTGTGGAAGGATTAATTTTATCTGAATGGGGCTGGGTAAGGTAAATTCTCATTAATAGGGGTGAGGGGAGGCTTCTCTGGGGAGCTGGGAGATTTGACGGATGATAGGAATTGATGCAATGGACAGAAGAAAGTAGACACACTAGCCTCAGAAATGGTTTTTCAGTTAAATAAAAAAAGATTAGGGAGTATACTTTGGTTTTCACAGGACTAACAAACTCCTTAAAAATAAACTTTCAAAATGTGAGTGCTTGGATGACTTATTTCTCTGGTTCTGTTATTACTGAGTGGAGCTTCAGATCGCCGAACACTTGGATCTCGGAAGCTTTTTAAAACTCATTTCTTCTATTTTTATTTATTTATTTATTAAAATGTTTTGACAGACTTATTTATTTATTTTTCGTAATCTTTACCAGAGAATATTTTTTCAGTTGATTTTTAGAGAGAGTGGAAGGGAGGGAGGCGGAGAGAGAGAGAGGAGAAAGAGAGAAACATCAATTGGTTGCCTCCCACATGCACAGGATCAAAACTGAGACCCTTTGGTGTAGGACAGTGATGGCGAACCTATGACACAATTGTCAGAGGTGACACGCGAACTCATTTTTTTGGTTGATTTTTGTTAAATGTCATTGAAATATATAAAATAAATATCAAAAATATAAATCTTTGTTTTACTATGGTTGCAAATATCAAAAAATTTCTATATGTGACACGGCACCAGAGTTAAGTTAGGGTTTTGCAAAATGCTGACACGCCGAGCTCAAAAGGTTCGCCATCACGGTGCTGTCCTCTCCCAACACTTTAGCCATTGAGCAACACTGGCAAGGGCCTCCCTTCTTTTAAAACTGACTTTGTTTCACATGCAAATTATTTAGCATTGCCTCTTGTGTATTCCATGCTTTTACTCTTAGTCTTCATCCACACTGACAAGCTATGTCTTTTTAACCAAAAGTCACTTTGCTTTTGTCCTAAATTAACATTGGCTTTCAGAGTAAATACGACTCTATAGACTGTACTCATCAGTTATGTGACAATACTATCCTATATAATAAAACCCTCATATGCAAATTGACCAAATGGTGGCTATGATGTGCACTGACCACTAGGGGGCAGACAATTAATGCAGGAGATGCCCCCTGGTGGTCAGTGTGCTCCCACAGGGAGCACAGAAGCTGGGCTCACGGCTGGCGAGTGCAGTGGTGGTGGTGGGAGCCTCTCCTGCCTCCGCTGCAGGTGGGTGGTAAGGAGCGAGGGGTCCCGGACTGCAAGAGCCCCAGACTGTGAGAGGGATGTCTGACTGCCGGCAGGTGGACATCCCTTGAGGGGTCCCAGACTGCAAGAGGGCGCAGGCCAGGCTGAGGGACCCCCCACCCCAGTGCATGAATTTCATGCACAGGGCCTCTAGTTTAGAAAATAAATGTATAAAAGAAGCAGATGCTATGGCACTTAGGAGTTAAATTTCAGAGATAAATATTATAGGGATATTTGGATATAACAGCTAGGGACCTTTCTCTCATTTCTTTTACTCCCTGTACTTTAGTTAAGAAAGTTTTCTTACTATCCAAAAGTAATTGATGAGAATGACACTTAAAATATCTATAATGGGAAATGTTCATGATGAAATATCTTGAGAATTTTCTATTTCATGTCTAAAAGGAAGAAGAAGAATTTTCAGTTCTTTCCAGCTGCCTGGGACTTCTGCCAACATTTTACCAAACAGAACATCCCTTCATCAGTGCCTCCTGTCTGGATTGGCCAGTTCCAGCATTTGATATTATAGCTCAGTGGTGTTCTGAGATAAATTCATTTACTGAAAGACATGCAGAACAAGGAAAGGTATGTAAAAGGACTAGTGCTCGCTTGCCATAGAGGTCATGTGCTAATATTTAAGAGGCTAATGAAGAATTTAAAACTTATAGGTCATCTATTCTTGGAAACATTTATTAAGCTAATTACATTGAGAAATGATTTACTTACATAATATTGGTTTTTGAATGTAAAAGCAGAAGTATTTCAATCAATAAAGCTAAGGAATTACTATGTCACTTTTAGTTTGTTTTAGGTTTTTATTGATTCCTTAAATAATCATAGCATTAGACTTGGAAGATACAAAGGAATTTTAAGATAGATGAGGGACTTGTAAGCTTATTGGAAAGAGAACCGTCAACAAAGAAATCAAAGATTTGGACTAGCAGGTCTAAAAGGTCACACCTTGAACTTTAAAATTTGCTGGCCCATTGCCACCAGCTCAGCTGGAGAAAGGTTTTGCATTGGAGAGTGGGAGCAGCAGAGGGTGGTTGAATGCCATAGTTTGGTGCTCAGACATTTTCTATAGCTAGAAGTACAGTATTTGAGAAATGGCATAATATGAGGGAAGTAAGTGTTTTATGGGGTAATCTGGTGGCTTTTTAGCAGGTAAGTTGAAGTAAGGAGAGAGGGAAGCCAGAGATGATTATTTAGGTGGTGAAGAAAATCTGTACTATTGTCCTAACAGTAGAAATTAGAATGTAACCAATGCAAGAGACATTTGAGAAAAATAGATAGGACTTGCTGAACATATGTACATGACTTTAAGATCTTGAACTCAAATCATTAGAAGAATAGTAGTGAGTACACATAGTTCTGATAGGAACCTGCTCCTGCTTAAACACCATTGAAGATGCCCCATCAATATACTCTTTGCAAAGCATTCAAGGATTTTCCCCATCTTGCCTACCTTTCTAACCTTATTCTGTACCACTCCCTTGCCCACAACCTTGCTCAAACCAAAAGAATGTTTTTTAACTGTGCTATATATCTTCAAACACCTGTGCTATTGCTTGTTGCTGTTGCTTTTATCTAAAGTAAACTTCCTACCCTTCCCCTGCTGAATTAATCCATCAAGGTTTTGTTACCTCTTCTGTAAAGCTTTGTCTGATAGTCCATATTCCTCTGAAGCCTTAACCCCCTCCCTCTGTTTTCCTGTATGATAGTACTGTTGTGCTGTATAACAGTACTTTTGCCATTGTCTCTCACAGTTGCCATATTTATCACTGTTTATTGTGTCTGATTTGTGGCTCCACAAAGCAAAAATTATTTGTATATCCTTGAATCCCTAGTTCCTATAAAGTGCCTGCTATAGACTAGTGACCTAATAAATATTTGTGGAACAATTAAATGGTGGTAGGATGTCATTGGCTGAAATAGAACTGATGAAAGGGAACCAAATTTCAGGGAAAATTAGAATTTTAATTTTAACATCAAAGGGAAAATAAAAAGATTAGTATTTCAGATGGAAGTGTGATTATAATTAATTTTTAAAACATTGAAGTGAATAATAAAGACAAGATAAGCATAAATAATAAATGTCTATTTTACTCATTTCTATTTTGTCAAAGTCCTTGAAGAGATAATATGTCATTTTATACCTTTTTAAAAAAAGGAATGGGAAATTCATGAAGTTAATTGAATCTTGTATGTTACGTATAAAAATCTTTTTTCTGTCTAGTAGTTTCTTTATTCACAGTTTGTAGCTAGAATCTGAAGTTATATTTTGATGTCTGAAAACCTATGAGGCATGACTTGGAGTAAGAGGTGGGTGTAATTGTAGAACCAGGACAGGAGAAAAAGAGATGAGCATACTTAAAGTTTTTGTTTTCATATGAGCCATGGGTTAAGCAACAGGGAAAAATAACTTATTTGATAGTGTAAGAGCAGGCCTACATTTTAGATGAATAATATTGGTGTGGATATTGATGGAGAATAAGAATTTATTATTTAAAAATATTTTATCTTTTTGTAAAATGTAGTGGTAATTATTTGTTTTAGAGTCAGAACAGTAGACATTTATTGATGAACTTATTCATGCAGAGTTTTTACTGGTTATTTGAATGCATCACCATCTGACCTGCACCCCTCCTCCTGTTCCTGCTTCACTCAGTTCTATTTCTAATCCTGGCTGGGACTCTAGGGCAACCAGATTTTCTTTGCCAGGAATTTTAAATTTGAATATAGGGACTTAGAAAGATAAACAGTGAATGAAGCTAAATAGTCCAATAACAGTACCCTTGAAAGATAGCCTGAGTTAGTGCTTCTAATGTGCATTACCCAAGATTCTTTAGTTCAAACAGTTTGGTTGCAAACCTGTGGTCTGTTTTCTCTGAAGTTCTACCCCTGGATGACTCTGCCTCAACCATTTTCTTTCCCTCCATGTGCACTCAAGATTCAGATTCCTGGGAGAGAGAACCTGGTTAGCCTAATTTGTATCATATGCACACCCCTGTGCTGGGCAGTATCTTGTGAGGGGGCAACCCTATCAGACTTGTTTGTAGCAGGAAAAGAGGTTGTTTTGTTCCAAAAGAACTTGTAATACCATTAATATAAGGATGCAGATAAAGATGTTGGACAAATGGAAAATAAAAAACACTGGTAGCCCATTACCTCCACATCTTACTTGCCCAGCACATAGACGTCTTTCTTCTCATTCATAGAGTTTCACTTTTTTCTGTGTTCAAAATGAAGTAACCATCACATCACCTCTACAAACACTTTTCAAAATATGCAACCTGAAGTCACATCCAATAGTTACATCATCAGCCTCCCTGAATCTAGAGGCTCTGGCAGATGTGCATTCCTTTTGTGATTTTGTTGTACTTACACCCCAGTCATCTAGAAAATTTTAATTAGCACCTACTCACCCTGAATTCAATAGTAAGAGAAAGGGGAAAAGAATGAAAATTGTTGCAAAAATGTATGCCACAGAAAGCAAAAGTTACAACCAGTCATAAAGCTGTAGTTAATATATAGTCAAATATATGACTTTCTTCTTTTTTTTTTAATTGAATCTTTATTGTTCAGATTACATTTGTTCCTCTTTTTTTTCCCCCCCATAACTCCCCTCCTCCCAGTTCCCGCCCCACCCTCCACCCTCACTCCCCACCCACTGTCCTCATCCATAGGTGCACGATTTTTGTCCAGTCTCTTCCCGCATCTCCCATTTCCCTTTCCCCCCCAAGAATAGTCAGTCCATTCCCTTTCTATGTCCCTGATTCATTATAATCACCAGTTCATTCTGTACATCAGATTATTTATTCACTTGATTCTTAGATTCACTTGTTGATAGATGCATGTTTGTTGTTCACAATTTGTATCTTTACCTTTTTCTTCTTCCTCTTCTTAAAGGATACCATTCAGCATTTCGTATAATACTGGTTTAGTGGTGATGAACTCCTTTAGCTTTTCCTTATCTGTGAAGCTCTTTATCTGACCTTCAATTCTGAATGATAGCTTTGCTGGATAAAGTAATCTTGGTTGTAGGTTCTTGGTATTCATCACTTTGAATATTTCTTGCCATTCCCTTCTGGCCTGCCAAGTTTCTGTTGAGAAATCAGCTGACAGTCGTATGGGTATTCCCTTGTAGGTAATTGAGTCTCTTTCTCTTGCTGCTTTTAAGATTCTCTCTTTGTCTTTTGCTCTTGGCATTTTAATTATGATGTGTCTTGGTGTGGTCCTCTTTGGATTCCTTTTGTTTGGGGTTCTCTGCGCTTCTTGGACCTGTGAGTCCATTTCTTTCACCAGGTGGGGGAAGTTTTCTGCCATTATTTCTTCAAATAGGTTTTCAATATCTTGCTGTCTCTCATCTTCTGGCACCCCTATAATTCTGATGTTTGTACGCTTGAAGCTGTCCCAGAGGCTCCTTACACTATCTTCGTATTTTCGGATTCTTTTTTCATTTTGCTTTTCCGGTTGGGTGTTTTTTGCTTCTTCGCATTTCAAATCTTTGACTTGATTCTTGCGCTCCTCTGGTCTGCTATTGGGTGTCTGTATAATATTCTTTATTTCAGTCTGTGTATGCTTAATTTCTAGTTGGTTCTTTATCATAGCATCGAGGGTCTCATTAGTTTTCGTGAGTCTCTCCTCAAGTTTATTGGCAGCTTCTAGCACATTATTGCAAGCCCTCAAAATTGCGTTTTTTAGCTCTATATCCTCCATTTCTGTCATGTTTTTTTGTCTCCGCATTTTTTATGCTTTCTTGGTGCACCCCCTTGTGGTCTTTGTGCGCAGTCTTGTTCTAGTTAAGCCTTGATTGTTGTAGTTAATACTAGAGGGATTTGACCACCAGGCCGACTGGCTGTGAGAATCAGCTGTATCTGCAGTGGGAAAACTTCTGTCCTCTGGAGAGGTGCTAATCTAGCCTTTGCCTGAGGCGATCCGGCAAATGGTTCTGCGCAGGGCTTGGGCGGGGCGGGATCCACAGGGCGGGGGGAGGGAGCAGTTATGGCTGCTCTCAGTCCTGTTCCCAGAGGCTCTGCTTCTCAGAACCCCAGGATCCGCTGCAAACCTCGGAGAGAAAGCTGCCCTCACGTTCCAACTGATGCCAGACAATCCCGCTTCTCCCGTTTGAGTCTGAGTCCCTAGAGACTCGCCCGGATCTGGAGCTCAGAGTCTGAGACTCCCTCCTGATTGAAAACGACAACCGCGCCCTCAGCCACCAGCCCGCTTTGCTCGCGCACCTCCGCACCTTTATATTTTCCACACTGCGCCTCCTCTGAGCCTCGGTATGCTGTTGTCTTTCCTTCTAGTTGAAGAGTCTCTCCTCAGCTAGCCTTCCTGTGGTTCTGGGTGATGTCCGTTCCGTCTTTTAGTTGTATTTTTGAAGTGGTTGTTTGCGGCAGCAGTCTCCGGTGTTTACCTATGCCGCCATCTTGCTTGGAATCTGACTTTCTTCTTTCACCTCCTTTGACTAGCATCTCAGCTGCTCTTGATAGCCGCCAGTCAGGGTCAATCCCTCAGACAGTGTTGTGAGCCATTCCCTTTCTTCTCTTAGTGGTGTGGGTAACCTAGAATGGTTAGATGACATTTACTTTCTAAATCAGTGGAATCTGGTGGAGAATAGTACACAGCTTCCTTAGGAAAACAGAAATTAAAAACCGAATTCTTAGATGAAATCATGGAAGGTGCCACAACCACCTTTAAACCCTGGTTTCCTAATCTGTGTATTTCCAGCTGTGAGAGAACAATCACTCCTGTATAGAAGAAGATTATTTTATTAGAGGCCTTGTGGTGTGAGTTACTGGGTAGTTCACAGTCTAATCTTGCTAAGTATCAAGTTCAGTGAGGACAAACTGCCATTCCTTTCACTGATGGAAGAGTTCCAATATAATCAACCCATCATGGAATAGCAGTTTTGGGAGTCCAGGGTTGGGCACTGAGTACTGGCAAATAGCATATTGTAGGCCCATATATTGTCCTTACCCTTGCTTCCATGGTCACTTTATCCATGAACTTATTGATAAATACCAGATTAGCTACTTAGCCACTGCGTTGAGTTAGATGGATTATGGCTGTAGATAATGTGAGATAATCACATAGGAGTTGCCTGCCATCTTTACAGTTTCTTAAGGTAATAGATTCATACTACATTTTATTTGTGTTAATGAAGTAGCATCTAGAAAAAATGAGTGCTGTTACTAATATTTTTATATCCCTGCAAACAATAAAGTATATCCTGCAGGAAAATTGAACTAATTTGTCATTTTAAAAAAAAGTAAGCAAATTTATGAAGAGTTGTAGCCCCAGCACTTATGGATACAAAATATCTTAGCTTGAGGTATAAGAAGATTTTACATCTTCTAGGAAGGAGAACAATACTTTATAATCTAGATCAAGGGTGGGGAACATCAGGCCCTTGGGCTGTATAAGGCCGGAGAAGTCATTTGGTCTGGCCCTGCCAATGCATTAGGGGTGAGATAATTAAATGTTTGACCAAATATAGCAGGCTAATTTTTAAGTTGATAGCTTGGTATGGCCCGAGAATGATGTTATAAATATCCAAATGGCCTTGACAGAAAAAAGGTAACCCCCCACCCCCACTCTAGGTTATAAAGTATTGAAATAGAAATGAGTTAAAACTTTGACTTTCCCTAAAGAAAAAGCCAATGACTTATTTAGCTAAGAAAGGTCAAAACTTGGTTTTAAAAAATGTATAACTGTTTGAAAGCATATATAAAACAAGTATATCTAGATATATTTTTTATGCATGTTTAGTTATATTTAATATTTTTCTTTTAAAGTAATAACAAGTTTAAGTGTTTTATGGTGCTTAATCTAAACCTTGCATCATATTTTAAATAGAAACAACATTAAAAATAGAGAATGGTAATTTTCAAAATACAATTTTGGTCATTTGTAAAATGGAAATGAGAAGAGTGTTAATAAAGAAAATAAGTCACATTTTTGGAGACAGATTTTCCATTTTTTAAAAATTCATTTAAAAAAATAACTATTTTGTGTTAATGACTTAAATACATAGGACTAATGAATATTTTTGGATAATGTTTTAGGCCTTGCTTATCCAAGAGTCAAGATGGAAGTTACCACACCTACTACAGTTGCCTGAGAATTATAATACCATTTTCCAGTACTACCACAGAAAAACCTGCAGTGTCTGCACCAAGGTTCCTAAAGACCCTGCTGTTTGCCTTGTTTGTGGCACTTTTGTATGCCTGAAAGGACTTTGCTGCAAGCAACAAAGTTACTGTGAATGTGTATTGGTAAGCATTAGTAAATAATAGCAATTTTATGAAAACTCAAAATTTCATATCACATGGATATGTGCTATATAGATACATATATATGGTCAAGCCAGCTCTAAAAGTTTAGGTTTTGAGTGAAATAAACAATATATGTAAAGATTTCATTCTTTTTTGTTCTTGTTTGTTTTTGTTCTTTTTAACCCAGTAAAAGGGTAAAGCAAAGTGAAACAAAACAGCTGAGTCTTTGAGTAAAACCTTTCATAAGTACAATTTTCTTCCTCTTCCTACTCCCACCATCCTTTACTGATACATACTTTTGAGTGTTGTGCAATGAAATCACAGCCATATATGCTAATGTAGGTGCTAATCTCTGAATTAGGTTTGTATTGGCTTTTTTTGTGTGTGTGTGCCTGCTTATTCTTTTTAAATTTCTTTTTCTTTATTGATTAAGATACTACATATGTGTCCTTATTGCCCGATTGTCCCTCCACCCCGGCATTGGCTTTTAATCGCTCTTCTAGATAATCCTTACCCAAATTCCTCCTAATGTATTATTAATAAAATGTTAGAAGTGAGATTGTAAATTTAACTTAGATAAAATCTTATTAAAATTTTTAAAAATATGCCTGTTTTATTTAGAAGAAATTTACTTAAGGGATTTTTGATTTTCTTATGTAAAGTCCATTTGATTATGGAGTTATTGGATATATTTTTAATCTTTTAGCATTCTCAGAACTGCGGTGCTGGCACGGGGATTTTCCTCCTGGTCAATGCGTCGGTGATCATCATCATCCGAGGGCACCGCTTCTGCCTGTGGGGCTCAGTGTACCTGGACGCGCACGGAGAGGAAGACCGGGATCTTAGGTGAGAGTGCGTGGGTGTCGCAGGTGTGTCACTGACATTTGGTCCGGTGAGAACAATGTGCCATTTCTAGCTTTGTAATAATACAAGTTTTATATTAAGAAATTCTGACAGTCATTAATTTAGAGCTATTTCTAGTTTTTGAGATATTTTCCTCATCAACCTACTAAGAAAACATGAAATAAACCAAATTACTATGTGAAATTTTTGCCATGAAAATTCTATTTTTAAAAACCTTTATTGTATTTTATTACTTTTAATACCTTTTTCCCTTTTTTTCCCCTAGGCGAGGCAAGCCTCTCTACATTTGTAAGGAAAGATACAAAGTTCTTGAACAACAGTGGATCTCTCATACTTTTGATCACATCAATAAAAGATGGGGTCCACACTACAATGGGCTCTGACTCACCACCTCAGCACTGCATTATATTATCATTTTCATTAAGAATTTATCAACAATAAGCTTTAACTTAATTTGGGGGATTAACACTTTTGCTGAGGGGAAAAAAAGAAAACTTACGTTATGAAGCCTTTCCAAAATTAGGTGCTTGGTAATCACATTAATGGTATAATAATTTTAAAAAGTATCTGGAGAACATAAGTTACAAGTTAGATCATTCTTTAGTGGTCATTTAAAAAAAATCTACAATTAATAAGAAGCACAATTTGACAAAATTATTTAAAACTGATTCTCCCAGCAATGCATATCAATGATTCATTGATACTTAGAGTGGGTGTGATTTATTTAAAGTTTTACTGCTTCTTTATGTCTGTGTGTTAATTTGCATCTGCTAAACATAATGCATCTTTTCCCCTCACCATTCTTGTGTTGATTTGAGATTTTTGCTGTATGTAATTAGAAAAAAATGTAAAACATGATTTATGTGAAATATTGTATAGTAAAAGTTGGTTTAATAGTAGAACTTTAAAATGTTTTCTTATTGTGAGGAATCTGTTAAAGTTTAAGGCTTTGCTGAAAACTTAATTCATTCTCAGGAATTTCATAAATATTCTCCCCAGGTAAATAATTGAAATAATTGTAAAATAAGTAGATAGCTGCTGTTAATATAATACAGTACATTTTGGGAGATACATGAGTGCTTGGGGAAGGGAGCCCTTAAAATCAAAATTTTCCATTTCAGTTGGTTGAATTACTGGAGGTAGTAACAAATAGATTTGACTATAAAATTAAGTTTTAAGAGCATACACATGGCAGATTTTGAATCTGCTGATGCCCATCTTTTATTACCAACCACACTTTTTTTTTTAATGACTGGATTGGAAATGCTCAGACTTCCCCACAAATGAAGCATAGTTTTGGAACTTTCCTTTCAACTCAAGAGGTTCATCTATATATTTGTGCAATGTAATCACTGCTATTTCTGCTTGGTTTCCTAAAAAGGGGGGAAAAGGCTCAGTGGTGAGGACCCTCATGAATGAACCTCACATCTGCATTCTTCTTAAGTGCTGTTGTGAAAAGCAATTTATGTTTGTAGGGTTTTTAAGTCAGAATGGGAATGATTGAGCTAAACTCTATTAGAAGAGAAGGAAGATTACAGAAAAGCATGTTATATATTGCTGCCGTTTTTTTTCCTTCCAATTAATTAAGTTGATGATTATTTCATACTTAGTGCTATCAAGCAATTCCAGATACTTTGGACTGAACATGGCTTGTTATATAAAATTACATTTTTACATATAAAAATAACCTAAAAAACATCTAGTGGTAAAATATAAAAAGTCAGATCTAGCTTCTAAAAATCATGAATGACATGATATTACAGAATATGCAAGTGGACATTAAATGATGGCCTTGGTTAAAGTAGAGAGAGCAGAACAGTACATACTCAAATGTGTTCAAAAAGTAAAAAAATTACCTATAGCTCTACAATAAAATACATGGAAATAGCTTGCTATTTTTATATACATTTCCAAAATATTAAGATAACTTTCTGAAAGATTAGAATGATTCTGTTTAAATAGCTGTCCTTTCCAACTCATTGCTACTTTTTACAGTAATGTATCATAAGTTCAGCCTACCATATTTTTTTTTGCATCAGTCATTATGAATACCAGACCATTTGTAAGTGTGGTTGAAGAGCAAAATGCTAATTTACATCTCTAGTAAATACTGTTTCAGGATTCATGAACTTGAATAATTCTACAGTTTGAAACTCTGATGCTATATATACATGGTATAATGTATTCAGACTTTGATTACTACATATTTAAAATGGAATGTTTTATGGTTGTGCATATGGATGTGAAGTGAAATATTTAGCCTTAACATTAAAATTTGGGTTTGATAGTGTTTATTTTGATATTGGTGAATTAGTCACCAATAAATTTTTTAAAAGCACTTGGTTGAAAATTGTACTTGAATTCATACATGCATGCTGCTAAACTAGAACTTTAATTTCCCCCCCATAATTTTTTTAAGTACCATTTATAAATCCACTTTTAAAAATAACAGATCCAAGTTAGAGTGCTGTGTGTATATTATTCAAAAAATGTACTGGTGTGATACCTTGTATGAATGATCATTTAAATACAGTACATTACTGTAGAAGCTAAATCAATCTTTATAATTAAGCAAAAATTATAAACCTAGGAATAATCAACATTGTAAGATATGTTAATAAAAACCTACTGTCATTTGGTTTGTGAAAGGTCCTTAAAATGTTTAATGTTTACATGTTTTTTCAAAGATATTGACAATAATGTATGTAAGTGAGCACGGCTCAAAAGATGAAAGCATAACATAGCTAATAATTGCTTTGAGGTGGAGTTTAAGTGTAAAGGGTTTGTTTTTTCTTTTTTCTTTTGAGAGCTAGTTCCTATTTCTGCTATCCTTGTGTTAAAATTAATGCAAAGCCTTTGCTAAGTGTATGTGTTTTGGAAAGGAGTGGGGAGAAGAAAATGGTTGTGCAGATCTGAGGAACACTGCATGGTCCTTGCTTTCTGAAAATTCCCAGCTGGACTTTAGAAATCTGAAGTGATTCGTGATAATGGTCTTTTTGAATGGTCTGTGGAGGTGTTTGAATTGACAGTCCTCATCCCTACCCCTCCATCCTGGAGCTCACCAGCCAATCATCACCAGCCAGTTAGGAATCCATTTATGTTTACAAACCTTTCTTTCTGCTTTATGTGTTTTGATATTTATTGATTTCTTTGACCTAGAAGAAATGCTGACAAAAGCACTGAAAGCTTGGAGAGAACAACAGCACGAGAGGAGAGGTGGCCCAGGAGTCTCTTGAGTCTTCTCCAGGATTGTGATTGCTAATTCTCAAGTTCCCATTCTTGGCTCATATTTGAGGTCATGTTGACAACAACAAACCCCAAAAGAATGCAACATAGTTTTAACCACTAGAATCACCAAGACAAGATACATTTATTGTAGCTTGGGGTTATGCCTGACACTTGAGAATTAGTGGGAGAGCAGAAGACTTGTTACTGTCTCAGTTCCATTCACAGCACATAGTTCTTTCTTTTATCTTTGTGATCTGACTGGATCAAGCTCATCAGGGGTGAGCTGGAGTGGGCAGAAGGATGGCAATGTCATCACTTCTCGATTTGTGAACTTCAGGCTCCCTTGATAATGAGGCATATCAAGTATTGAAGAGCTGTACCATCTTAGTGTGCAGTAATCTAGCAGTGGAGAGGATGCCACTCCAGCTGATGCAACACAATGAAGAAGCATAGTGATACCATGAGTGAGTTAAGTTAATATGAAATATGACAGTACCAAGATTGATGTGGCAGAGCTCAAGAGCAGGCCAGAGAAGTAGGTTCAAGGGCACAGATAAATAGTTCAGCTTGAGAGGAAGGAATAGGGGCAAGAGAAAGGAAAGAAAGTTTAAAGGAAGGAAAGGAGTCCTATCCATTTCCCTCTTACCTCGGTGACAGAGTAGCAGGATCATCTGTTGAGAGTGAGCAAGTGTAGAATAACTTGGGCGCTTGAGGTAAGTGGTGAAAGTTGAGACATATGGTAGGAGAGAATAGGCTGGGAATAAGGAGAAGCACCGCAGAAGTCCTATTGAGGGCCCAGTAGGGTTAGGAGCCATATTTTAATGGAGCCAGTTAGAAAGGTTTTGTGACTTTATGAAGCCCCTGAGCCCAACAGTCTAGGACCGGAAGGGTAGAAGTTAGACTGCTAAATTCATGTTTTGGGGATTTGAGAGGTGGGTACAATGTAAGGTAGTAAGAAATTTGGGGGTGCTAGTTGAAATGAGTGTAGGGTCCATGTGGGATAAATTGAAGGGTATAATATAAATCACAAGATTTAATGTAAGCTTTCAAAGTTTTCTTTCAAAGTTATGGAAATTGCTTTAGTGTTGAAGCATTAAAATTCACTTATTTAGTAAATTTTTTTTTGTCTCCTATGTGCCAAGCCTTGTGTAAATACTGGAAATACAATGGAAAAGAAGCCAGACAATCCCTTCTCTCACAGAGCTTTTTGTGTAATTAATGCTACAAGTGGTGTGTGTAGAGGGTGTTGGGGGCAATGGAATATAGGGTACTAAAGAAGGCACCTCTAACCAGACTTGGGAGTATGAGGAGGCTTTCAGGGGTAGAGATGTCTAAAGATGATCCCCAAATACTGTGTAGGAGATGCCTGGGTAAAAGGGAAGGAATACTGTTTTAGGCAGGTGAAGAGAATCATTTGCAAGAGTCAGAGTTGAGAGAGAATCTATAGTTAAAGACCTGAAAGGGAATCATTTTGACTCTAACATATGTGCTTTTGAGAGAGAAGTAAAATCTAAATTACAAAGGATTTTGTAAGTCTTCCAAGAGTTTTAGACTCTTTAGAGAGCAGTGGGAAGCCATCAGCTTTGCATTTTAGTAAAGTTAGTCCAGCTGCACTGTGGAGAAAAATCCAGAGTGGGAAGACTTGCCTAGGTATCTGTTGAAAGAATCCAGACACAACATAACAGTTGGCTCAATTAGGGGAGTTGTGGTGGAGACAGAAAGAAGTGGACAATATCAGAAGAGAATTGACAGAATTCAATAGGTTAAGGGAGAGCAGGGAATATTAAGTGCCTACTGTGTGCCAGATGCTAAGCAAGTCAGAGTGTTAGTGTCTCCCTGCAGTCTAGTTGGAAACAGCACTCTACAGTAAATGGATGTTATCAGCAAGTTAGGCAGAGGGCTATGGGAACCAATGGGCTCATTTAGTTTGGGGAGCTCACAGACTGCATAGAGGAAGTGATGTTTAAACTGAGACCTAAAAAATGGGTAGAAAGCTAAGTGAAGGAGGGGAGGTGGTTCTCAACCTTCCTAATGCCGCGACCCTTTAATACAGTTCCTCATGTTGTGGTGACCCCCAACCATAAAATTATTTTCGTTGCTACTTCATAACTGTAATTTTGCTACTTTTATGAATCATAATGTAAATATCTGATATGCTCTATGTGTTTTCTGATGGTCGCGACCCACAGGTTGAGAACCGCTGGAACAGAGGGAGGGCATTCTAAACTTTAGAATCTAAAGGGTATGTATAGCATACAGGCCCTGGAATAAGCGTGGGCAAGATACACTCCAGAAACTGAATGGATCTTTAGAATATCGTGCTAAGTGAAATAAGTCAGATGGAAAAGGACAAAACCATATGCTTTCACTCATGGAATATAAAAAAAGCAACAAGAACAAACTCCTAGATACAACAGATTGGTGGTTACAGAGAGAAAAGAGGGAGGGGAAGGGCAAAGTGGGTTAAGGGGGTCAAATATATGCTAACAAGGAAACTAGACTTCAGATGGCGAGCGTGCGATAGAGTACACAGATGTCAAATTATAATATTGTGTATCTGAAAATTACATAATGTTATTACCCAGTGTTGCCCCAGTAAAGAAAAAGAAACTGAAAGAAGTACAGTACAGTTGAAGCATTGAAAGCAGAAGGGTGTGGTGGGTGTGGCAAGATATGATGCAGGAAAGATAGGCTTGAATCAGATCATGCATGGCCTCGAGCCATGTTATGGATTTTGATCTTTGTCCTTACAATGACAGAAAGTCATTGTAAGAGATTAAGTAGGGTAGTGAGTGTTCAGATTGCAATATTAAAATGATCATTATGGCCTCAGTTTAGAGCAACGGTCAGCAAACATTTTCTACAGAACATAACAACCATTCAACTCTGCATTGTAATGCAAAAGCATCCACAGACATATGTGGCTTCTAGTATTGGCAAATAAAGAGATTCAGACTATGTTAGATATCTACGCCTGGTTAACAAATTACCCTAAAATTAATGCAATAAAATAATATTCCTTATATTACAGTCTGTGGGCCAGGAATCCAGGAGTAGCTTAGCTGAGTGATTCTGGCTCAGAGTCTTAGTAGGCTGTAATGAAAGTCTCAGCCGAGCCACAGTCACTTGAGGCTTGACGGGCTGGAGGATTTGCTTTCAAATTCACTTGTGGTTTCTTGCCATGTGGGGTCTCCATGGGGCTGCTAACAACACAGCAACTGATTTCTCCAGGACAAGTGATCGAAGAGCGGGAGAGACAGAACATACACAAAAAACATACCCAAGATGAAAGCCCCAGTATTGATTTATTTAAAGTGGTTTTTTTGTTGTTGTTGATTTTGAGAGAGAGAGAAATATTGATGTGAAAGCAGAATATAGATTGGCTGCCTCCTGCATGCCTCCCAGGGATCAAGCCTGCAACCCAGGCCTGTACTTGACCTGGAATTGAACCACCTCTTTAGTGCATGGAACTGCGCCCAACCAACTAAGCCACAATGGCCAGGGCAAGTACCCTTTATTAACAAAAATTTTCCCCCAGTGTCTTTTATAACCTAAGCTGGAAGAGGGATATTACTTCTGTCATACATACCAACCCTCGTACAATGTAGGAGGGGTTTACACAAAATTTTTTTTCATAGCCTGCTATTCACAAAACTTGCCTTAGATATTAGGTATGATATAAAGTGGAGACCCCAGCTTGTAGTTTTGGAGTGCCTACCCTGAGTGAGGAGACATTGTGCATGGCATTTTATCCACATTATCTTGTTTAATTCTTGCAGCAAATCTATTGGACAGACAGTATTTTCCTCATTTTACTGATGAAGAAATTAGGCTCAGAGAGGACAGTTGGTGCAATGCCACATGTGAGTACATATCAGAGTTGGAATTCAAATCCTAGTTTAACTCTAAAACTCATTGTTTTTCTTCAGTATTTTGCTAGATCAGAAAATGACGAAGGTGGTTGCAGTGTTAGAAGTGTACATGAGCTGCATTTCTAGGCAACCTTAAAGAATCGTTAGAATAAAGTGCCCATGGGAATGCCAAGGAGAAGTCATTCCATCTGGTCAATCAAAGAAGGCTCAGCCAAGAAGATGGCTCTGAAATAGGTCTGGAAGGATGCATAGGATTTTATCAAGCAGGTCAAGGGTGTAAGACCATCTGGGCTGATTAAAAAGTGGCAGATGCAAAGGCAGGGTGGCTCTAGAGCACACACTGTTCCTTGGGAATGGAGCTCTTGAGATGCCGAAAAAAGGAGTTTTGACTTTCTAAGTGATGAGTCATCCCAGGTGGTTGAGCAGGGGAGTGATGCCTCCACGGTGGGCGCTGAGAGGAAGAATGCAGTGGCGCTGTGAAGGGGAGGCTGCCTTGTCATTTTAGTCCACGTGAGAAATAATCAGGATCTGAAGGGAATCAAGAACGAGGGAACCGCAGAAAGGTGCTCAAAAGCCCGGTCTATTGCACGCTGGAAGTGACCGATGTGGGGTCAGGGCAGGGGGAGACTGGAGTTACTGAGGCCTCTACACTGAGTGACTGAGCAGGTAATGATTTTAGTCTCCACTGTGGGGAACACAGCAGAGGACAATTTTTGTTAGAATACAGAGTTGAATTTGGGACAGTTCTAGGGTGCTCATGACATACAGGTGGAGCTACCTTGTCTGGAGCCAGAGATGCAAACTTGGGATGATTTTCATGAGGCCATGGGCATGAGATACCATGAGAGAGGGCAGAGGACAGTCTCTTTGATGAGTCCATTTACGAGTAAATGAGGTGTATGGTGACTTGTTAGATTAGGCAGGCCAATGCCACTGACGAAGGGACTTGAAGATTGAATCTAGTTTGTCTCAGTGAATAAAAGGCCAGGGAGTGAGTAAAGGGCCAGGTTGGGGGAATGTTTGACAGGAGATAAGGAAGGTTGTGCAGAAAAGATCTGGGAACAGTGTAGCAGGAACAATTTTAATGTCTTTTTAAAGAGTTTTGCTTCTCAGGAGAACCACCAGCAGTGGTGGGAGGTCCCTAACCAAGATTCCCTGACACACTGGAGAGTCTGGCTTAGCGGCAGTTAAGGGACAATCATCTTTCATCTGCCTTCTCCACACGCACCATGTCCTAAATGCTCCCAGACTGAGCTTTAGATTGTTATCTTCCTATAAAGCAGTGGTTCTCAACCTTCTGGCCCTTTAAATACAGTTCCTCATGTTGTGACCCAACCATAAAATTATTTTCGTTGCTACTTCATAACTGTAATGTTGCTACTGTTATGAATCGTAATGTAAATATCTGATATGCAGGATGGTCTTAGGCGACCCCTGTGAAAGGGGGGTTCAACCGCCAAAGGGGTTGCGACCCACAGGTTGAGAACCGCTGCTATAAAGCAAACTGGACTATGAAGGGGAGCCAGAGGCAGATATCATGGTGATGGCATTGTTCTATATTTGATGGCAGCAGGGGTTACATAAATCCACACGTGATAAAATGACAGAACTGCACACACATTTTACCAATGTATTGTTTCCTAGTTTTGATATTGGACTATGGTTATGTAAGATATAAAAATGAAGGAACCTGAGTAAAGGACATAGGCTTGTCTCTGTATTATTTTTGCAACTTCCTGTAAGGCTATAATTATTTCAAAATAAAAAGATTTTAAAAAGGCAGGTGAGTCTGTACAGTTCAACTCTTTGATATCTTTGTTTTTGACCTGTTGACTGATAACAAATATGGGGCCTTTGTCAATGCCCCTTAATTGTTTTTAACCATCAAACTTGAAGGTTTTATTTTTCTTGGTTTCAGTTCTTTTTGTTCCCAGATCTAACTGTCTTGCCTCCAATTCAAACAATACTCTGTCTCCACCATTATACTTATTTCACCATTTGGAAAAAGATAGAAAGATATATGATAGAAAAGATGTGCCTACAGATGGCCACATATGTAGATTTACAGGACAGAGATTCGTCATCAAGGGGTGTAACAATGGCCAAATGGGCTTTTAAAAAACTCATCCATCCACCATGTTGTTTTTTTTAAAAATATATTTTATTGATTTTTTACAGAGAGGAAGGGAGAAGGATAGAGAGTCAGAAACATTGATGAGAGAGAAACATCGATCAGTTGCCTCC